CCCATCTCCTCTGCCATGGAGACCAACATCCTCAAATTAAGAAATACTGATTTTGACCTTCAAGAATCCTGGACTTTTTTTAAAGGTAAAAGAATCTCATTTAAATGTGTGTGTTTGTAAAATGTATGCAATACATAATGTACCATACATAATGTAGGATATGTAATACTGTATGCCATATATACTACAGAATTGCTACAAGCACTTTTGTAAAAGTTCTAATTTAATTTGTCTGCTTGGTCCTCTGCTGGGTACTTTTCTCCCTCAGTTTGGACACTGAAAGAGGATTTCTAGTCTACTTTCTAGTTCTGTTCCTGTACAAACAGTGCCATGAAGTTTTGAGTCTGTTAGAGGGTGCTTTGAGTGAAGATTAGTTTTTATTGGAAGTCACAGATTCATGGAAAAAAAAATTCCTACTGGCCTTTTCATGAAAGTTTTCTTCTACAACATTTAGATTTTACTTTAGATTTGATGCTAGCATCCTGTTAATTCCTCGTAAAGTCGGTCTTTTGTGCTAGTTGAAGGAAGTCTGTCCTTTGGGTCTTGAAGGTGAAATGAGTTCTCATGCTTGTGTGACCTCTTAACCCACCTTACTTACCTTCCTGCATCTCGGGAGAAGAGGATGTCAATCCCTTCCACAGCTACAGTTTTCCAGAGAGTTTTCATATCAATTGTAGAGTCAAGTCGCTCCGGGCCATCTAACAGACAACAGCCATCTTGTGGGCAATACCCACAAACATCCTTTTCTTTGTAGCCTTTGTTCTTCCCACACTGTTCAAGGATGATGATTGCTTTGGAGGAGGAAGCAAGCCCAGTGTGAACAGTAAGCTGTTCCCCGCCGTCAGAGTAAATGAGAAGAAATTAAAATGAGAACTGTTTTTTGTATAAAACACTTTGTTCGGAGTGTCATGCAGCACGTAAAGTGTTAGTGCAAAGACAGGGAATCTCCTGCCTATAGGAAACTTAGGTCACCTCTTGTGACAGCAAAACTGGATTCTCATTATTCTGTATTGCCTAGTCAGCTGAGGACTCTGGATTTTGCTTTTGTGCATGCAAACAAAAGTATCTTCTGCAGCTGATAGAAGATCTCTCTGCTGTTGTGCTTGCATTACCCAAAAGCTCAACTGTTTTGCTCATTAGCAGGCATCTCAAACTGCACCAATTCACAGTATACATCTTTAACCTACCGTTAATTCTGCAATCATTGTGCACCAATTTGACAGTTCAAATTCTGATATCTTTGGTGGCTCATGGAAGCTATACTGATGACAGGACTTCCACAATGCTCTCAAATATATGGTTGTCTAGATTTCCTTGTCGTCAGAACAGTTACTGCCTCACTTGCTATCCCTTCAAGTCACTGAAAAATCCTTTTTCATGCGGTGAAAGGAAGGGTGTTCAGGAGGAAGCTACTTTTTGCTTTTTATAGCTTAAAGAATAGGGTTTTTTTTCACTCGGCACGCTTGGCCTACTCTTCACTTTTAAGAGAAAAAACCATTGAACTCTAGTTACTCACTAGTGGTTGGAGAGTCGTCCAAATCTTCCACACTGACTCCTTTGTTTTTTGGTAGGACACGGGCAGTTGCACAATTTGAAGATCTATGTCACTACCAAGGCCCATCTTGGACAGCTCCTGTATACAGAAACAAAATGGTACAGGTAAAAGCTTCAGGTGTGTTCAAGATGATGTTATGGAAATTAGACTTTGGCCCAATTCAGAAAGCACACTACAAGGGGCATGAAACATCCTAACCTAGTGGTATCCAAGCGTTGGTCGGTAGAGAGATGTGTGGTCACGTAGAATCGTAGAAAATGAGAGTTGAAAGGACCTCAGGAGATCATCTAGTCCAACCCCCTGCTCAAAGGCCCAATGTTGTGGGAGACCATATCAAAAGCCTTGAAGCTCCCTCATCCCCAGAGCCAGTCATCTCATCACTGAAGGCAATCAGGTTGGTTAGGCATGATTTGCCCTTGGTGAATCTATGCTGACTGCTTTTCTCCTCCAGGTGCTTAGAAATGGATTTCTTGAGGATCTGCTCCATGCTTTTTTCCAAGGACTGAGGTGAGGCTGATTGGTCTGTAGTTCCCTTGATTCTCCTTTTTCCCTTTCTTAAATATGGGCACTATGTTTGCCCTTTTCTAGTCATCTGGGACCTCTCCTGATCTCCGTGAGTTTCAAAGGTCTGCAACCACATCAGCCAACTCCTCCAGCCCTTGGGTGCAATCCATCTGGACCCATGGACTTGTACATGTCTAGCTTTTCTATATAGTCCCTAACCTGTTCTTTCACCACTGTTGGCTGCTCCCCTCCTCCCCAACCAAACTGTGCTGCCTGGTGCAGTGGTCTGGGAGCTGCCCTTGCCTGTGAGGGCTGAGGTGAAAAGGCATTGAGCACTTCAGCCTTTTCTGCATCCTCTGTCACTAGGTAGCCTCCCCCGTTCAGTAAGGGGATCCTCTTGTTAACGATATACTTGTAGAAACTGTTCTTGTTCCCCTTCACATCCCTTGCTAGCTGCAACTCCAATTGCACTTTGGTCTTCCTGACTTCATCCCTGCATGCCCAAGCAGTGCTCTTATACTCCTCCCTAGTTGTTTGTCCAAGTTTCCACTTCTTATAAACTTCCTTTTTGTAATTTAGTTTACTGGAGAGTTCCCTCCTAAGCCAAGCTGGTCTTCTGCCATACTTGCTAGTCCTCCTGTGCATTGGGATGGTTTATTCCTGCACTCTCAATAAGACTTCTTTAAAGTCCAGCCAGCTCTCCTGGACTCCTCTCCCCCTCAGACTGGCTTCCCAAGGGATCCTGCCCATGAGCTCCCTGAGCGAGTTGAGATCTGTTTTTCTGAAGTCCAGGGTCCTTACTCTGCTGATCTCCATCCTTCCTTTCCTCAGGATCCTGAACTCAGTCATCTCGTGGTTGCTGCTGCCCAAGTTGCCATCTACTGGTACGTTCCCCACCGATTCTCCCCATGCATGGTATAGCTGTACAGGTTTCCCTCGCTTTGTGCTGTACATATGTTCCTAGAAAACGATGCATAACTCAAATTCGCATAAAGGAAACCAACTTTACAATGTAACAAACAGGGATACGTTCCAAGACCTCGACTGTACTGCATCCAGACCCATTTCTACCACTTTTACAGGACAATTTTGGTACTCACCAACAGCAGACAGTACATACCAGCACAACCGCAGCTCCAGAAGCACGGGCACCAGCTGCCCTCAGCAGCGGCCCTAGGCACTGCTGCTGGGGGCCTTCATGACTCAGCTCCACGCTGATGGGGCCGGGCCGCAGGGGCCAGTGCTGCAACCCAACCCGGGCACCAGCACCTGGCTCGGCCCCCACAAATAATCTCTTCTTCCTCTGCCTATCAATCACTCCCACAATGCACTGCACAAAGCAGCTGACTGTGGGCTTCTGCCACACTGATTGCATAAGAGAATTTACCTAGCATATAATGAATTTTTGGTATAAAAAGGGTCGTTGCATAAGAGCGAATTCACACGTCCAGAACCCGCATAAAGCGAGGGAAACCTGTATTTGCCAAAGGAATGTTTGATTGTCAGTGGGTGGGGAGTGTCTCTCTCCACTCTCAAGATGTTTGCATTAAAAAACAAATTATAACCATGACACAACATTCTCTTCCAAAGAGCAGAGGGTTAAATCCATACTCCTAATAAGACACATCTTCAAAATTTCCATTCTTATCTAGTCCAATGTTTCTCAACCCATGGGTTGCAAGAATATATGAAAGGGTCACGAGCAAACTTTAGAAATGGTTCAACAGACTTTAAGTATGGATTCTCCTTTAAAGGAGGAAAACGTGGGAAACCGTGGCTTTTCCGTTGCGGGCTGGCAAAGTTCCAGCCTGCAAGGGGCTCCCCATGCCCACCTGGCCCCACGCATCAACCCCCAGCCCCACACGCTGCGGGGCTAGGGCTTGGGAGTGAGGGCCACTGGGTCAGGACTGACCATCGAAGTTTACAAGCAGCTCCTGGTACAAAAAATTGTGAGCCACTGATCTAGTCCATCACCTCCCGAAGCAGCACTGTCCCTTGCAGTTTCCTAGTGCTCCCTCCCCTGAGGAGGGAATGATAGTAGATAGGATCCTTGCTCTGTCTCCATCTTGATTTTCCTTGCATCAGAGTAGTAATCAAATAAATGTGGTTGCATTTTTAATCTGTTTGGCTTATTCCTGGTTTGGTGGTTTCCTTAGCAGCACAGAAAAGTCCTGTCTACAATGGGCAAATTTTCCTGGTTCAATGCAATACCTGCCTGGTTGCTGGTATGATTTCATAACTCTAGAAAACTCCATGTAGTTGGGATAGGATAGAGTTTCCCTGTGCCTTATCTATAGAAGACCCAAGCCCCATCAGTAGACCTTTCTCTGAAAACTTTGGTTTCCACCCCTGATGTTGGGGTGAAAGGGAGTAATGGCATTGCCCTAAAGAAACAGATTGAGGAGAGGTCTACCTGCTGCCCTTGAAAAAGGTAACTTGGGAGTGGGCTTGAAGGGGGGGAGTATAAAGGGGGGGTCTTGAGGATGTTCCTTCAGGGACCCTGGTCAGGAGAGTAGGATTTAAGAGCAAGGGAAGCAGGGGAATGAGTAGTTGGCTGTGAAGCCGAATGGGAACCTAGGCCTCTGCACTGGAATGTGACAAGCGGAGTGTGCTTTGTGTCGAGGAGGGAGGGGAATCTGGTGGGATGACACTGGGTCTTGTCATGTGAGATCATGTTTGTGTCACTGACAGAGGCCCATTGTCCCCACAGTGGTGTAAGGGAGGGAAGGCAGGAGGTCACCAGCATAGGGGTTATGCTAGATCAGGAAAAAAGTTAGGGTACTCTTTATTCTAAAACATTACCACCCTAGCAAACCCTTCCTGTTTCTCACGAGGGGAGCTTGTGTGGATGGGGCCTAGCTGTAAACCATGTTAACTGGGAAATTTGCCCTTGAACACTGGCTTTCTAAATAAACTGTTCCAATTTCCTTGTCAGCGGAAACATTGATTAGCTGTGCTCAATAAACTATCTGACACGAGCAAGGAAACAATGCCTGCAGGGAAGTAAACACATTTGGAGAACACTGCCAGCCTTCTTTCCTCCCGGCACTGACGGTCTTTGAGGGCCCATTGCATCATCTCGCTTAAGAATGCAGTGCTGTGTCCCCGCTTCCAAAATAATAAAACCCGAGCCAGTCCACAATTAGCATTTTATTTTCTGACACGTCTTTCATTTTAACGTTTAATGTGACTCTTCCTCTTTGAACTGCATGGCTTTGGGTATGTGACTAGTAGCCACGTTCTTGCAAAACACGGGGATCCAAAATATGGACTGTTAAAACTGCTGCTGTTAGTTGAACAGTTAAGGCCAAATTCATCCTTAATATTGCTATCTGTGGAGAAGCCCCGAGAAATGGATTTGACCCATTGCCTGTGCAGGGTGGAGGAACCCAGCCAAAAGCAAAAAGCCTATAGATTGCATCGGAGACCGAAAAGAAGACGCAGCTTGCTAGATCCCAGCCATGCCTTATTTAGTGTGTGTTCAATATAATGTCCAGGTGCTCTTATCATGGGCTGGTATCCCACTATGCAAGCACAAAGCAAAAAGATGGTCCCTCTGCCAAGGACCCTGTATCCTAAACTAGAGACAATGGAGAGCAAGAAAGAGAAGGCCACATACAAGGAAACAATGACACCGTGTTGGACAGTAGGTTAGGCTTCAGCTTTCTGTAGCAATAACCAACCAACACATTTCCCAGATTTCTCCAAGTATCCGGTGACATTGTTACCACAGGTCCCGTGTGTGGCTCATTAGAAATTAAGCCATGGGAGAAAAGAGGTTTTTGGTGGGTATCAAATCGAGCAAGACAAAAAGAGAAGCAGCTGGAAACATCACCCTAAGAGAAATGGAGGAGAAGGGACTTTTTGGGCAGCGTGCTGGCTGGGAAGAACTTCAAATTTTTGAGCAAAGAAATAACCTCCTGCTTGATTCCTACAGTATTCAGGGAAACAGGATGTTGTGTACACACTTAGCAAATAGACAGCGTTGCATCAACGAGAGACTTGACTCCTTCATGCGTTTCCACTTCTATCAATCCAGTTTGCAGGTTCCCACATACTGAAACACTGTGCAGGCCAAATGAGCAACAGCATTCAGGCATGCTCACATACAGCTGGATATTACTGCCTAAGGTCACTATCATTTCACAGGAACTTAAACTATCTGTATCTACTGATTAGATGCACAGACAAGCGCCCACTTTTCATACACTGTTTTGTAAATCTAATTCAAAGAGCATTGTACTGGGATAAGGAGGAGGAAATATAGAAGTGTCTATGTACCAAAAAGATGCTCCATAAAGCCAATACTATGTAAAATAATGGTGTGGAAAACTGATTTTTTTTTTTTAATTTGCAAATATATTTTCAAACTCCTCAGAGTTTTACTGGTAAGTGATACAGAAAGCTTTAAAAAAATGACATTAATATCACTTATAAAATTATTAGCTTGCATTGTTTGGTAGCCTTTTACCTAAGGGACTTAAGCATTTTGCAGATGTTATTTAAGCTCCACAACACTCCTTGAGTAGTAGATAAATTGTTTTTTCTTCATCTGATAGATGATTATGTTGGGGCTGAGAGGTTAAATGACAATTTGCATAAGTGGCAGAGTAAAGAGCAAAACTAGACTCCTGGTTTCTAGCCCCAGTAGGAAACCCAGCCGTTACATATAGTTGACAGTGTGCCTTTTTTAATGCAGTCAGCCTAGCATCATTATGCTGAGTGTTGTGTCTTGTTGTCTAGTTGAGAGACCGATCTTTAGAGTATGTCGTCAGCATAGGTTCGTTCTGGTGTGGTATTTTGCTGTGCTGTTTGAAGGAGGGACAGGATCAGGTTCCAGAGGCAAAGTGGGGCCGTGAGTTCATAATATGAAGTAAATCATTTGCCTGATTTACGATTCTGAGGACACCAAGTGCTGCAGAACAGACAGCATGTCATTGAATATAATGCCCCAAGAGATCTGGGGTAAATGTACCGGTTTGCCTTCCCATAGGAAGCTTTCTGCTCTGCATTTTAAGGGTTAAAAGATGCTTTTGGCAAGGCACTTTCATGCATATTTTAAGAGGGTACTTCAGGTGACCTGACTTTTAATAGTCCTAAAGGAACTTAGAAAGATGGGTTTCTGAAAAAGAAGCTGTCTATCCAGCACTATGCAGCCATATTAGGGCTTAGGAATGAGTCCAGAAAAAACTCTGAAGCTTTTCTTGATGACCCTGAATTGACAGGATCATCTGTGTCTTCCACTCCTTCTGATTGATCTTTTTCCTTAAGCACAAAAGTGGTGCATTTTCTAATGATGAGGACTCTCTGGATGTGCTGCTGATGGATGCTTTCTGTTGGCATCTGCCTGCACTGAGATGAGAACTTGTACTACTGCAAATATGGCAGCAGTTTCTTTGGCCTGTTTTTATTCTTATGCTACAAAATAGGTAATAAGAAGAGCACGAGTTGCCAGTGGGGAAAGCAAAATCCTAAGATGTGTGTCAATGTGATTAGAGCCTGGTAGCAGTTGAAGATTTAAAGTGGCTTATTTCTTCGTGTGGTCCGCCTTCTCAGGAGGGTAGGAAACAGGAGTTTAGCTTAGTTGCCCCAAATGGAAAAAGCCGTGCAGTTCTGGCAATAACTTGCTCACAACTTCACGTGAACCTGACGCTTTGAAGCAATGGGAGCAAAAACTGTTGTCAATTAATCCATCCTTGATGGGCTCTGTACTTCATGCCCTTACCAAGGCAAGCAACTCAGACTTGTTTGGGAGACAAAAAAAAAAAAAAAGAGGACTTGCCAATGAAGAGAGATTGTTGAGAAGAGGGGAGGGAAGGGGCAGCTGGCACCTTAGGCCTCCTTAAGAAAGCAGGTCCTACAGGGTATCGCCGATGGGAGAGAAGAGAATACTAATGGAAGAGCAGAGTGAGGGGTGCGTAGGGGGCTGCGATGGCTGTGGTGCTTCTGCAAGAACCAGGGCAGTTTGCGATGAAAGGATCGAACTAAAACTCTAGACTTGCAGGGCAGGTGGCAGTGCCTGACCCCACAGGGGCTGGTGCACCGTCCTGAGCTTTTGCACGAGGCCCAGACGACTCGAAAGCAGTACTGACAAGTCCCAGCTCATTCTGGAAAGACTCCTAGCCTGAACAGATGTGGTGAATAAAGCTTGGGTCATCAGTGATTGGTTCTCAAAAATTAGGCATGCTTCGGAGCACTTAGTGATCCCTGAAAGAAAACCCAGCCAACTTGGGATCGCTGCTAACCATACTGCTCTTTTTAGCTTACATGGGTAGGCTTCCTGAAGACTATAGGTCAACTAGCTAAAACAAGACACCTGGGCTGTTAATGTATAGATAAATATAAGCCAGTTGGAACAACTCACTGGCCTAGCCAAGTTCCTGGGACTTCCTAATGTACAGACTATTTCTTACATTTGTCTGGATTTTGCTACTTTACCATGGAATCAGAAACCCAGGCAGCATCTTCAAGCATACATGGATCCTCCCCACAGTGTGCTGGAGTGGAGGGAAGAGGATTTGATCTCCACCCTAGACCAGGACTGGCATGTGCTTAATTACATAACAATAGCTAACCCGTTCTATAACATCCTGGCACAGCAGGCACATGACACAATGCTACAAAAACCTTGTTTCATCAGTGTGTTCTGGCCTCGGGCAGTTGTGCTCACAGATAAAGAACACATTTTCTTTTTGAGCTGGGTAAGATGATACTGCATCTAAAATTAGGACCAATGGAAATCAGGAGATAATGAGCAAGAACATTGTCAACTGACAAATATTTGCGGTTTGGGGCACATGTCATGTTGAGGGGTGGGATCCTTTACTGGCTTCCAGAGATGCCTGGAGAATGGAAAGGTACAGTAGAAGTGTTGTTCTGTTTCTGAGTAGCCGACAGGGATTACGTTACCTCCCTCATGACTTCACTGCATGTCTAATGGACTCCTTCCAAACATTGAGTTACCCTTTCCTTCTGCAAACATGTTAAGACAAAATTGTGTTTCTACAGGGGATATCAGGTTTGTTCTTAGCCAGGTTTGGCCAACCCTGACAGTTTCAGTAAGCTTGGCTTTGTTGCACTTAATGTTGAGTTAGATCTTCAATAGCTGCTATTACCTCTCCTATTAAGGATATAATCTTGGAGCAGTGGTCCTGTATCCCTGCCAAATACTGTGCTGCCTACTTTTATTCCACTGGCTTCTTGTCTGTTCTGAGTTCCAGGTGGACCTGCCAACCTCCCTCCAGCTACCTCCGTTCTCAGGACCTGGACTCCTCTCGGTTTTTGTAATTGCATCTTTGTCTTCTCTGCAGGTTCTGTCTTCTTGAGCATCCAAGTCGGTCCCTCCACCTCCACCTTGCTTCAGATCTCTTCTTGGTAATCCCCTTCCTATTTTACAATCTTGCCTGTCCATGAAACCCGTCAAAGTATATTAATACAGCCCATTTGGAAGCTGTTCTTTCTTCGTACAGGAGAAAAATTAAGTGGCAGTCATTTTCTGTGCTGAATATTGCTGGAAATTGCCTTGCATAGGAACAGCGCATACTCTTAACAAAATTCTGTAGCTGCTCTGGCTCTTCAAAAGTACACGCTGCAGCCTTAATCAGCTGGAGAGAGAGAACTTAAAATAGCAATCTTCTTCTGTTGCAAAAAGTGCAGTTTTCCAATATAATAGCACAGACTAATTTTTATGATTTAGAATAGAAAAAAAAACCCCACCACAGGCCCAGTAAGTACTAAAATTTAAGATAGACTATCTCTTTTTTTTTCTGTCTAATAACACCTGACCAGAAAAAAAGAGGTAAGGCCCTACTGGGGTTTCCCTGGTTTAACATCACCAAGGATCCTGGTTTTTGCTGATTAACTACCCCCGCCCCCTTGCAAATTCTCTGATTAAAAACCCAAAATCCATGATTAAAATGAAAGGCAGAGAGAGAGAGGTATCAGTTGAACACAATGTTTTATTGATATATTTATGGTTTAAAAGCAATTTGGAAGCCTACCAGTGCCTTAATTGCTGTAATAAAATAAATTCTAAATACCTATATATTTATGGCATTTGATTCTTGGGCTTTTCATCAGGGAAAATCAGAGCTCCTGCTGAGACCAGTCTGTATACCCCAGGGAATTATGTGCAGAAAAGTTCAAAATTATGCACCATAAATTATTATTATTTTTTTTTTTTTTACAAACTAAATATAATACTATTTAATGTGATGCTTTGAGGTAAAATGGGGCTTGCCAGGGACCAGCTGGGGGCCCCCTCTGGTAGGGCTGGGTGGGCTGGTGGGCACTGGCAGGGCTGGCGGGGGCCCTATAAAGTGGGTATGGGTGACTGCCAGGGCTTTGGGGTGGTGGGGGGGGGTGGTGG